CAAGCTACTGCGCCCCACTGCCACCCCAACCACACTGCGCTCAGTCCCCCTCCACCAACACACACAGATACACATATTGACACACATACACTCTGGCACATACATACTGACACACAGATATACACATTGAAACACACACTGGCACACTCAGATACACACAGATACACGTACTGGCACATTTACACACTCTTACACATACATACAGACACTGGCACATACACTCAGATACACACACACACACACACACTGGCATATGCACACAGATACACGTACTGGCGCATACACACACTCTGGCACATACACACTGACAGACAGATACACACACTGGCACATATACTCAGATACATACACTCAGATACACATTGACACACACTCGAATACACACTGACACACAGATACACACACTGAAACACACACATATATTGACATGCACACAAGTCATGCTTTATAGATTTACAGCCACCCTCCTGTATGGCTTACCTTTGTGTCCAGGAGGGTGGCTTGCTGGGAGTTCTGTTGCTGGCTGAGGCTGAAGGGAGTGAGCATGCAGCGGCAGTTCACTCCAGAACTTTACTCTGCCTCCATGCTGCTGCCTCCTCCTGGGCGGCAGCTCTCTGTGAAGCAGGGAGGAAGAGATAGACCAGTGATGGCGAACCTATGGCACGCGGCCACAGGTTCGCCATCACTGCAGAGTAGGCGCCTGCCTGCCCGAAACGGCAGGCGCCTACTCTGCTTCCGGGTCGGGAGGCAGGGGGTGGGATCTGTGAAGCAGCTTCCCTGTCCTCCCGCGCGATGCTGTGTGGAGCGTTGCCGCGCGTTATCATGGCAACGCTCCACACAGCATTGCGCAGGAGGACAGGGGAGCTGCTTCCTGGAGCCCTCCCCCTGCAGTGCTTACCACCACCGGACCACCAGGGATATACTGACACACAGCACCCTTACCCCCCCAGAAGTACCCCTACGCCCCCCAGCAGTAACCCCTACCCCCCCCAGCAGTAACCCCTACCCTCCCCAGCAGTAACCCCTACCCTCCCCAGCAGTACCCC